TTGCAATCAAACGCACCCTAAGTTCTTTACAACTGTAGAAGGGGAACTAAGGTTTGAATTTTCTAGAGAACATTAACATCTCATCTCTCTTTCTCGTTAGGATTATCCAACCTACAGCAAATTACATGTATGCAGGGTTGAGCTTCAACCGTCTCATCTGAAAATCAATTGAAGTAGGTGAAGGTAGGCTAAATTTTATGGCATTTAGCCGGTAACACAACCCATGGACTAGCGTCATTATTGCACCACAGCAATGTTACAATTTGCATTTAAACTTGTATAGTTGAGTGGTCAACTACATGTTCGTGTCTAATACATGGAAAAGTCTTACCTAAGAGGATCTTTGCCTAGAAATTCCTCTAGTCCCAATCTCTCTCTCTCTCTCTCTCTTTTCTTTTTAATATTTTTGATTGGTAAATGTAAAATATATTGATTAAAAATCATGTACAAACACATCGGGCAACCGGGTGAAGACTATCTTGAGAGGACAACAAAGATCTGGTCCCAATCTTGAGAGGACAACAAGCTGAAGCCATTCACCTTGGATTTACTTCACATTTAAAGCTCAAGAAGAAGAGAAGATGTTAGGGGAAATACAAGATTATGATGCCATTTTCTTATGGGGACATGATCCACAAGATCAAATTTCTCAATCAAATTCAAAATCATTGCTATCACTCCTGCAGATGGTGAAGTGTGTAAATGTACCTCCGGAGGAGTATCCTACACTCCTATGAGAATGTCAAGCCTACTGCATTAACAGTGGATGGTTTTTTCAAACAGTTTAAACGCATTATTATCCTCGGCTTGCGTGATGATCGAATTCGATTACTATGATAATTTTTTAAGATTTAATCAGATAAAATTTATATTTGATTTATAAAATATTTGAAGAGGAGGATTAGGGGCAGTAGTGCAAATATTATTTTTTTTAAAGTATATTTTTGACTTAGGGTGAAGTTTTAATTATTATAAATCAATTTCTGAAAATTCATATAAAATTTCGAAACCTCCAAAAAAATTCTGGGACATTACACTTATATTCAACTTACACTCGGAGTTCATGATGTGCCCAAAGATTAGCAATGAGTGTCCGTGTTGAGAAAGTGGAAGCAAAATTCCACATTGCCAAAACATGAGATAGAAAGTAGGGTTGTAAGCTAGATTGAACTTCACCCCGTAATATATTAACCTCTCTCTCTCTCTCTCTCGTTATAGTGAAACCTATTGCGGCAAGTGAATACTTCTCTTGAATTAAGTATGAACCACTTTGTATCTAAGAAAAAATTAAGTATGGACTGCACGTGGGCTTGGTCTAGTCTTTGTTTTGGGCTGTTTCTCTTGGATTTTCCGTTGGGCTGTACATTTTATTGGGCCTTTGATTGTTTGCTTGGTTGTGGCCTTCTGATTCTACCTCTTCTTTCTCGGATTTTCTCTTTGGGTGGCCCGATTTTCTTTGGGTTTGGGTTTATGGGGAAGAAGAAGGCCCATCATAATGGTAGGCCCAAAGCTTCTTTTGGGCCTGTTAAACGAATTGAAGTTCAACCCATTGTAGGGGATTCAGGTTCGATTCTGCCTACTAAAGATGGAGCTTCTACAGCTACTGACAAAGCTTCTAAATTGAACTCACAGAAAATTTCTAAATCCTCTCTGAAGGATCAAACTGAGGATATTGAATCTCCTAGTGTCTCCCAGACTCTCAGAGAGGAAGACACAAATGATGAATCTTCTACTGATGAGTCTCATAACGCTGCAAAGGATATGAACGACAATACTAATGGGGTAAGTGGAACTGGACCCTGGGTGGACCTGTTCAAAGATAATAGTAGTCCTAAGCAAGGTTTTCAGATTGACTACATCAAAGATTTCCCTGATACTATTGCTCTAGGAGATCATGATGTGGATAAGATAGAAGATAAGGTGGGATATTGCATTGTTGGATATTTTGCTGGCCGTTTTCCTGGGAAAATGGCTCTTCTAGCTATGTGTAATAACTGGAAGGTGGAGTATAAATATTTTGTTCATAGAAGTGGATGATTGATTTTCAAATTCAAGGATGAGGCTTCTAGGACCAATGTATTGAAAGGAGGTCCATATTTTGTTTATGGCAGACCCCTAATGCTGAAGGCTATGCCGAAATGCTTTGAGTTTGATGAGAGTGAAATTTCCACCATTTCGGTTTGGGTGAAACTCCCAGGACTGCCTTGGACTGCTGAAATACCAGGGCCCTAGCCAAAATTGTTTCGAAGATTGGGACACCTATCTCAATGGACAAACTTACTGCTACTCAAGAATGTCTATCATATGCACGTGTCTTAGTGGAAATTGATGCATCTAAGGAATTAGTTCGATCAGTAGCCATGAACCTGCCTACAGGCAAACTGAGAGTACAGGAAGTTGAATATGAGCATGAACCTAAATTTTGTGCTATCTGTAAAATGTTTGGTCATTTTACTATAGACTGTAAAGTCACAAAACAAGGTGCAAAATAGAATTCTGTGCTGATTACAAATAGAAATCAAGGGGCTAAGGTGATTGCTGGACAGAATGGTGAGAAAGATCCAGAGATGGAAAATGCGAACTCTAAGAATGATTCTGGACAAAATAATTTGGAGGAAGCACAGATGGCCAAATGTAATGAGGAGCCTTTTGTACAAGTTACTAGGAAGAAAAAAAGGGTGAAACATAAGCAAACACAGATTGGACAATGTTCCAAAACCAATCCTAATGTGGAAAGCCACATTACTAAGGCATTGGGAAGTAACAATACACAAGGTGTGAATCTTGAAAAGGGGTTGACACTGCAACTCAAAGGAATAACACAACAAATGAAAAGCATAAAAGCAAAGAGAAGGAGGCAACACAACCTAAACCAATAGCAAAGGAGAGGAAGAATGAGATAAACCTTCATTTATCATCATCGTGATTTGTAGCACTTGGAATATTAGGGGCATGAACACTCCCTTGAAATAAAATGGTGTTCAACATTTTTTGAAGCATCATAATATTGATGTATTGGGAATCTTGGAAACGAAGTTGGAGGCATCTAAACTTGACCGAATCATGTGGAATAAGTTTAGTAACTTTTTGCAAATCAACAACTTGCCTTATCATTGGGCAGGCCGTATTGTGGTACTATGGAACCCCTTGAAAGTGGAATTGGAAGTCTTGGATATTACCGCACAAATCATCCATTGTGCCATTACCTGCAAGGTAACCTCTCTTAAGTTCATGGTGAGCTTTGTGTATGATTTTCATTCCATTGTTAGTCGGAGACCTATGTGGGATAATATTTTGAATTTTGGACTCGAATGTTCACCGCCTTGGATGATTTTGGGAAATTTTAACAGTGTTCTTCATTTTAATGAAAGGAGCAACAGTACAGATGTTACACCATATGAAATTAGAGATTTTGAAAATGTCTGTTTGAATGTGAGACTTACAGATGTGCGGTCTATTGGGTATTTTTATTCTTGGACTAACAATTCTAAATGGAGCAAGATTGACAGACCTATGGTTAATGATATGTGGGTACAAAAGGGATTTAATAGTCTTGCAAATTTTCTACCTTCGGGATGCCTCTCAGATCATTCTCCCCGT